TCTTGATCTGCTGGATCTACTTGATTTCTTACCTGGAAAGCAGGAATAGGTGCAACTCCCAGGGGAGGTTGTAGCCTGTTAACATCCCCTCCATCCCTGGGCACAAACAAAACCACCAGCAAACCTACTGAGCCACAGTCCTGAAATATTCCCTGGCTCCAGTCCCTACCCTCTCTGTGACCTGTAAAATGCTCATGGATCTGTTTGCTTTAATCCAGCCCCTGGATAATCCTCAGATGGTTTCGGTGTCACTGCCATTCCTATAAAAAGAAAAGTGAAGCGTGATCCTCAGTGCACAGTCCCTTTCCCAATGGAATGTGGGAGCTTCCTGGCTGAGTACCAGACATTTGAAGTCTGAGAGAGAGAGAGAGAGAGAGAGGGAGATCCTGGGATGGGCTCTGTGTGTGCTCAGGTCGGAGCCTGGATGAGCCTTTTCCTGTGGTGAGGAACAGTGTAAACACAACATTTCGGATGTGTACTCTGGAAAATATGCAGGTGAAAACTGATGGGTAGAAACTGCCTGTTTGATGGATCAAAGGGAGGTTTGATGTCCAAAAAAAGAGCAATGGGGCTGAGGAAAAGTCTGGAGCACCAGGAGCAGCTGAGGGAACTGGGGGGAAATCAGCCTGGAGAAAAGGAGGCTCAGAGGGGACCTCAGAGTTGCTTTCTCCAACTCCCTGACAGGAGGGTGGAGCCAGGTGGGGGTCAGGCTCTGCTCCCAGGGAACAAGGGACAGGATGAGAGGAAATGGCCTCAGGTTGTGTCAGGGTAGATTTAGATTGGATATTGGGAAAATTCTTTCCCTAAAAGCGTTGTCCAGTCCCTAGGGGGATTTAACAGCTGTGTGGATGTGGCACTTGGGCCCGTGGGTTAGTGGTGGCTTTGGTAATACTGGGGGAACAGTTGGACTCCATGATCTTATGCATCTTTTCTAACCTCAGAAATTCCATGATTCACGATTCTGGACATCTGTGTGAGCTGGGAGCGCTAACAGTGCTTTTAAACCTCTCTCATTTTCATTCATACCTGTACACGTAGAAAAGCAGCAAGGAGAGCTGCTAAACCTTTCTCACAGTTCTCCTTAGGAACATCCTTGGGATAGATACACACATCCCAACACCTCTGCATCCTGCACATTGGAACGGAGGTGTGAAAATGGCAGGAGGTCTATTTTAGCCACTTCTATCTGAAACAACATGCTAGTGACGTGTTTTTCGAGCACATCTTGTTTACTGGCTTCGTGAGCAAACAAACTGCTCTCCTTCCCTTCAGTGACGTCAAATAGCATCAAACACCTGCTCTTGTGTCGTGGTTTCCATTCCTGGAAGTGTCCAAGGCCAGGTCGGAGCAACCTGGTCTGGTGGAAGGTGTCCCTGCCCATGGCAGGGCGCTGGAACTGGATGATCTTTAAGGTCCCTTCCAACTCAAACAACTCTTCCTCACAAAACAGGAGGTGCTGGCCCTCCATCCCTGGCTGAGCATGACGATATGTGTGGCACATGGAAAAGGGAAACTGTGAGACATGGGAAGTGCAGTTTCATTCACCTCTGAAATAGGGTTAATTAGCAGATTTGGGGAATTTTCTAGAGAGCTGCACAGCGATGAACTCCAGGATCAGCACCGTGTCTGGGAACTGCCGCTCTCCAGCCGCTCCTGGTATTTTGGCTGTTCATGGACACGTGGGCAGAAAACAGTGTGGGAAGAATGAGCTACTGACCTGGTCTTCTCTAGACAGCCCTGCACTATCCAAGAGAGGTGCTTTGTGCAGAGAGCAGCTCTCTTTCCTGGTTTTTAAGTTTTTGCTGTTGCCAGGTCTGCATTTAACCTCTCTTGGCTCGTTAGTTTTGTTTTAGGAAAATCATCCTGGAGAATTGTTAAGAACAAACAAGAACAAAGCAAAGATTCTCCTAATTATCCATGTATGTTATTTCAGTGTGATAAAATTGGAAGTGGTTTAAAGTATATTTATCTGCACACTGTCATCTGAGTCTGTAATGTACATGTAACCAAACACAAGGACTCACTTATTCCTAAAAAAGCCGTTTGCCTCTCAATATCAAAGAGAGGAGCTCACTAAAACAGAATCCTGGTGCTATTTCTCTTGGGAAGGAGCTGGTCACCTCAAGAGACCTTTCCTGGGACTCAGAGAAGCAGCCCAGTGATGTAGGTGAAAGGCCAGACTGGTGGATCAGCTTTCCAGGAGCCTTTCCTGGCGCCGCAGCTTCATCCTCTCAAAGCTCCCGGAGCCAGATCATGGCTTTCTCGGGTCTTCATAGGCATGGCCTGGCTCTCGCTGGGGTCATGAGTTTCTTTGTTGCTGAAATTACCTGTCTTTAGTGCTACAGGAACATTTGGGACAAAGCCAGGTTCCTGGGAGGCTGCCAGCAAACTACAGAGGAGGTGACACTGCTTAATCCAGGGATTTTCCTCTTGCGGGATTCTCCTTTGGGGTCCCTTCAGCTGAGCCTGGCTGTTCCAATCTGCTTAGATGCAGGGGGGAACCAGGTTCTAAAACATTCCCATAAGCGAGATTAAGGCACAAACAAGGCCAGATGCTGGATCCCAAAAGGAGAATTCAACTTTATTTTGTAACACAAAAGAGCAGAGAGAAAGAAGGAAGATAGAAAAGTAGGAAAAGCTGAGGGTAACTGTTAAAAGCACAGTGGACAGGAGTTACCACCACCATGAAGTGCCACTGGCACTGGTAGATCTCTGCTGGGCTTCTTCCCTGGTCGCCTTGTAGCCTCCGAGGAGGGAGCCAAACCTGCAGGGTAACAGAGTGGCAGCAGCTCCCACAGGAGTCCTCTCAAACAGCCCCTCCAGCAGTCCCTGGGCTCGGCCCTAAATCCCCTCACCGTGGCAGACCCTTGGATGCCCACTGGCCAGGTCACCTGGGACCAAGATGGGCCCCGAGTGTCCATTGGCAGCTTCCCCACTCTCCAAGCAAGATCTGCCTGGCATACCAGAGAGTAAGTCCTGGCTGTGTTCTTGGTTGTAACAACTTTCTATCTTTTTCACCGGTCTGCCTGCCTCTGCTGGCTTGCTGGGTGCCTCCTGGAGCTTTTGCAAGCAGCTCAGCTCCTGCAGCAGCCCAGCTGTGCCATCAAGGCTTTTTAGCTCAAGACAGTGGGGAAGCAGACTCCATCTTTTAATTGGTACATTACACTGGCCCATCCCATTTGCTCCTGAAATCATATTTGGGTTGGAAAGGACTTCAAAGCTCATCTCATTCCCTCATTCCCACCCCCCTGCCATGGGCAGGGACACCTTCCATTAGAACAGGTTGCTCCAAGCCCTGTCCAACCTAGCCTGGGACTCTCCCAGGGATGGGGCAGCCACAGCTTCTCTGGGCAACCTGTGCCAGGGCCTCCCCACCCTCACAGGGAAGAATTTCTTTCCAATAGCTAATCTAAATCTCTCCTTTTTCAGTTTAAACCCATCCCTGCCTTGTCCTGTCAGCCAGTTTGGATTTGTTGTGCTGGAGCCTTGCCTCTCCGCTGCAAGGAGGTTTCTCTTTAGGGTTCTGCAAATTAAAGAAATGAAATAATAATTGAAAATCAAAACAGAGAGAGTCAGATCCCAGTGACTACACCAGTGTCATTCCTTTGGCTTCACACGAGGAGGCTTTGCCTGAGGATGGGCCTTCACAAATTCAGAGTTAAGGGTTGGGACCTCTCTCATTGTGGTGGTTTTTCCTGTGTATCCAACTGGTCTCCCCATGTTTTGCCACAACCCAAATCCAGATGCTGGCGGAGTTCTCACACCTGATCCCTTCTCTCCACAGGAGAGAAGGAGCGGAGCAGTTCCAGGGGGCATCCCATACCGAAGACCAAATCATCCCAAGCCCACACCCAACCTCTCAGAAGAGGAAGCCCAAAGAATTGCCAGGATCTTCTCAGCTCAGCTCTCCAAGAAGGAATAGCATTCACAAGAGATCGTCTGCAGTGGAGCTTCCCGATCCCAACCACTGGGTACTCCAGTAAAGGGGAGGTGGAAGCCACAGCTTTCAGGCTCTGCTTTTAGTTTGCCTAATTGGTTGGTTAATTGGCATCCCCTAATTAGAGGGGCTTAAAGCCTTTGATCACCCACAGGGAGCTGCAAGACCGTGTGTCTTGCAGGGGCAGGTCCCCAAGGAGATGCACCCCTGTGGGTGACCCATGAACTCTCCAGATAGTCCAATTTTGGGATGTATTCCTGTGAAATCACCCTTTCAAAAATAGCTGGTGGGCAGCACAATTTGCAGTTTCTAAAGATGCCCAAAGTGCTTGTGTGAACACAGGCCAAGGGCACTGTGAAACACTGCTGGGTGTACAAAAGGGGGGGGGACTAGAAAGATGACATTTTTTTATCCTAAATTATTTTTGTATATTTTTATGTCCTGCACCTTTTGGAGAACAGACTTTGAGGCCACCAGAGCTCAGTTATTTTTGTACTGCTCTCCCTCTAGTGTTTGTGTTTCAATAAAATTCCCTGGTTTCTTGTCAGCTGGTGCGAACTGTCCCCCTCAACAGGGAATAGGACTCCTTCTTCCACAAGCTTCCAGGGTGGAGAAATGCTGCTGGAAGCTGGGCTGGCTGGGCACACGTGGAAAGGTCACTGCTTTGCCAAGGAACTCAGTATCATCGTGCAGCACAGCTGCATGGGACAAGTTGCTCCCAATTCAAGCTGCTTTTCAAACGATACATGTAATTCAGGATTTAAAGGAGCCAAAGGATCAGCATCCCCTTTTCCTCCTCCCTCTGTAGTGTTGTTTTTCCCAGGGGACACCCTAAATGTGTAATTCACTGCTGGCACAACTTGTCCTGGGATCCTGGCCCCTTTCCCTCCTGCCCTTACTGGGTTGGGAGATAAACATGCCCAGTGTCCCCTGCGGGGACAGGAGTGACATGCAGGCTGCTTTCTCTCAGTTGCATTCCCAAAAAAACCCAGGCAGGATGCCAGCTGGGCTGGGAACACTGTCACAGAGGAGGTGACCCCTCGGGCATGAGGTAAACAGCACCTTCCTCTTGGGTTTAGGTCAGCGGCACGGACGGGCAGGAAAACAAGGCAGGAGCCAACTGGAAAAGGGTGTCAGTGCCAGGCAGCTTTTTCCTGGAGCCCAAGGGATGGAGTAAAGGTGGTTTCAGGGCATCAGGGCCACTCAAAGTCCCTCTTATGTGAGGCAAGCTCAGGTGTGAGTGTGGAGTTTCCTATAGGGATGTGGCTCATCCCTTCAGGTTTTGTGAGTGCGGTGCTGAGGAACACCAAGGGTTAAACACATGACGTTTTTAAAATAGGAGTTAAAGGGACACTTCTGCACTCCACCTTGGCATCCAGCCTCTTGTCCTGAGCCCTGTCCTCCCTGGAAGCCTCAGCCTTAGTGCCCAGCCACGCTCTGAAAGGTGTCATGGGGATGGTGGTTTTTTTGGCAAGGGTTTTCTGCATCTCATCCTTCCCAGAGCACTTTTAGGTTAAAACCTGGCATTCCTCCTCGATCCCTGCACTCCCAGTGGCCACCTGGACATTGCTGGGTGCTTCCCCACAGCATTGCTCCAACGGGCACTGGGGATTTGGGCAGGACCCCCCTTCCCGTGCCTGAGCCCTGGGTGTGAGCAGAGGGCTGAAACAACCCCGTCACGGGTACCAGGTGACCCCACTCCCATCAGCGCAAATGCCACGGGGGGAACTCAGTTTCCCTGTCACCCGATCCGTGGCTGCTGGAATGTCATCCTGGGTGCTATATAAGGGTGGGGCCAAGGAGTCGGCTCTCAGGGTGCTGCCTGAGCAAGGCAGGAGCCAGGAAGCGGTGCCGGGGTCCCTACGGTGAGGCCATGGGGGGAACACAGACGGTCACCCTGGGGGAGAAGCTCTTACTGAGCCGTTATGGCTGGGGTGGGATAGGGAAGGGTGGGAATTGGTGAATCCCATGCTGAGCGAGGAAGCCCCGTGCCTCAGCTTCCCCTGGGGATGTAAGCGAGGAAAGAGGGCAGCATATGGTTTTTGGATTGTCCCAAGCCAGCGGAAACCACCACGGCACATCATCACCTCCGTCACCAAACCTGCGTGAAGCCCCATCCAGTGCAGCATCCCGGATCCTCCACAAACCCTTCCCTCCCCTGCCTCCAGCCCCTCTGCCACCATGGTGGGTCTGAAGCCCCCTGAGGTGCCCCCAACCACCGCCATGAAGTTCGTCAGTGCGGGGATGGCCGGATGCATCGCCGACCTCTGCACCTTCCCCCTGGACACCGCCAAAGTGCGGCTGCAGGTATGACCCGCCGGGCCCCCCAGAGTCCCACGGGCAGAGGGAACACACAGCGACAATGGGAGCCCCCCCACACGCCAGCTCCACCCCAGAGCTGGTGGCATTTGGAGGGGAACAGAAGAGGTGGTGACACGGTTGGCACCCTGCAGATCCAGGGCGAGGTGAGGATCCCCCGGGCCATCAACTCAGTGGAGTACCGGGGTGTTTTGGGGACACTGAGCACCATGGTGAGGACAGAGGGACCCCGCAGCCTGTATAGCGGGTTGGCAGCCGGGCTGCAGCGCCAGATGAGCTTCGCCTCCATCCGCATTGGGCTCTATGACTCTGTGAAGCAGCTCTACACCCCTAAGGGTGCCGAGAGTGAGTATTCATATGATCCAAACAACCCTGCACTCCCCCATCCCAGTGCACAACCCCACCCTACCTACCTGGAGGGGCACAGCCCACCTCAGGGTGAGCAATCCACTCGGGGGGGGGGGGGTGCACAAACTGCCAAGATGACCCCTGGTGAAGCCCAGGGGACCCCACTTGCCCCAGCATCCCCCCATAGCCCAGGGTGCCCACAGGGCTGAGGGTCCCTGCAGGTCCAGGGTCCCCACACAGCCCAGGGTCCCCCTTGCCCCGGGGGGGGTTGGGGGTTCCCGCAGGGCCGGGGATCTCAGCACCTGCTCTCTCCAGACACAGGCCTGACTGCGCGGCTCCTGGCAGGCTGCACCACGGGGGCCGTGGCTGTGGCCTGTGCCCAGCCCACCGATGTGGTCAAGGTCCGGTTCCAAGCCAGCGGGGCAATGCTGGACGGCGCCCGCCGGTACAGCGGCACCGTGGATGCCTATCGCACCATCGCCAGGGAGGAGGGGGTCCGCGGGCTCTGGAGAGGTACGGGGGAAAGGGATGGGATGGGAATAAAAATGGAAATGGGGATGAGGAAGGGGACAAGGTTAGGGACATCACAGCTGGGGCACCCACACAGGGTTCTCCAGGAGGAGCTGTGAGCCCCCACTCACAGTGCCCCCCTCCCCCCCTACCCAGGAACGCTGCCCAACATTGCCCGCAATGCCATCATCAACTGCGGGGAGCTCGTCACCTACGACCTCCTCAAGGATGTGCTGCTGCGGACACAGCTCATGGCAGGTGAGAATGGCATGGGAGGGACACTGAGGGGCCTTCCCTGTCCCCACAACGTCCAACCCCGGCTCTTGCCTGCCTTTAGACAGCATCCTGTGCAGGGGGGACACGGGCAGGGCCTTCCCTGTCCCCACAACCCTGGCTCTTCCCCACCTTTAGACAATGTTCCGTGCCACTTTGTGGCTGCCTTCGGTGCTGGGTTCTGTGCCACAGTGGTGGCATCACCAGTAGATGTGGTGAAGACGCGGTACATGAACTCCAGTCCCGGGCAGTACCGGAACGCCCTGAGCTGCCTCCTGGCCCTGCTCATGCAGGATGGCCTTGCCGGCCTCTACAAGGGGTGAGTTGGCAACATCCCCCCTGCATGCCCACAAGCTCAGTGTGACAGCCACGTGGACGCAGCAGCACTGAACTCCAGATACCCCAACCCACGTGCAGGGCTTTGGGGATGGGGGTGTCCCTGGGACGTCCTCTCCAGCGTTGCTTTTCCCGGTACAGATTCATCCCATCCTTCCTGCGGTTGGGCTCCTGGAATGTGGTCATGTTTGTGTCCTACGAGCAGCTGCAGCGTGCGGCGGTGTTGGCACGGCCAGCCCTGGCCTGATCCCACTCTGGCCCCTCTCACAATCCCAGAGAGGCTCAGCATCAATTATATTAATTGTGGAAACGCCAGGGAGCAGCAATGCCACTTCTGGAGAGACGGAAGGAGAGACGATGCTGTTTGAGGAGAAACATGGGAGAGTAGAAGTTTCCAGAGAGGAGTTTTAGGAAGTAAGAAAAGAAATTTTTCTAGGTTTTCCAGCTGGGAAGAACAGCACTTCCCAGGGACAGTGATGTGTGTAGGTGGGACCAAGCTGAGGGATGGGGGCTGTGGCAATTCCTGTTATTCCTTATTGGCACTTCCAATAAACCACCCCTATGGGGTCTGATCAAGCTGATTTTCTCTCTCGCTTCTGGTGCACTGAATAATTCCCCATTAACCTCTAATTATTCAGGTCCGTCACAGTCACCAACACCAGCTGTTGTAGTTTAAATTCTCTCGTGTTTTCCCCATGCCTCCGTGAGGGGGCTCTCTCTGAGAGAGATGCGCAAGGCGGGGCTCAGCAGCCCCCCCATACCCAAGCCTGGGGACGGGGCTGCGCCGTGCCCGGGGTGCCGGTCCCGAGTGGACGGAGCGGGCCGGGGCGGGAGCCCTGGAACTGAGATCCTGCGGGAACCGCGTGAGAACTGGAGGAATAAAAGCGCAGCCGTTTCCGCCCTTCGCTTCCCTCGGCTGCGGGCTGGATGCGGGAGCTCCCGCCGGCTCTGCTTGCCTGAGAACCTGCGGGCTTGGATTTGCCGCATCCCCGTTCCCGCACGCCGGAGCTCCCCCGTTTCCTGCCGTCCCGCGCCTCCAGCTCGTCCCTGCCGTTTGGATCTACCTGGATCCAAAGGTATCCAGGCTGCCAAAGGTCGTCACAGGTTATTAATGAGCGTGGCAATAATTAGGACAGGGTTTTGAAGCTTTCCACGTCCGCTGCCGAGCCTTATCCCAAGTGAAAGAAACCTTGCAGCTGCTCAGAGGGGACCCCCATCTACAAGTCGGTGTGAGCATCTCCTGGAATGAAGATATGAAATACGGGTTTCTGCCCCTGACAACATAATGATGATTCAGAATCAAGCAGTTAAATCTTCACAGGTTTAAAGATAAGAATCCAATTCTTACCCCAACACAGAGAAATGTTGGGATCAGAAGATTCATTGAAAAATCTCCATCAGCAAAATACTGTTTTATAGAAATATCCTTTAATTTTTAAAGTGAATATTCCTTTATTTCAGGGTCAGTGAGTGAGTTTATCTTCCCTCGGGAGTGTTCTCCCTTCTTGTCTCCTTAAACATACCAGAAGCAGCATGATTCCTGATCTTTGGAATCCTAACTGCATCCCAGAAAAACTATTTCAACATCTTTAATGAACACGGTGGATCAAACCTTTACCTGAGGTCAAACTCTGCAATCCCACCCGGATTCAGTTTATAATGGCTTTGGGAGACTGTAGAGGGAGGTGAGGTGTTTTTTTTTCTGGGGACTGCGCTTTACTTTTCCCCTGGGAGTGGAGAGAGGGTCTCCGGATTAATTTTTTTTCTTCAGCCGGGTCATTTTTGGCTTCTTCGAGCCCCAGGGAAGGTCCCAGTTTCACCTCGTCCCACTGCCTGGACACCTCCTCAGAGCTCCTGAGGACCTGTTTTGTGGTGTTACCTATATATATTTATTTTTATGGCCAGTCTTCGCGAGCGAAGATCCGGGGAAGGTCTTTACACCTTCCAGCCTGCGCATTGGATTTTTTAGGTGAGACACAGTGTGCGCGGAACTGAGCCCACCCTTTAATCCTGAGGTTCATCTGCCGGGGCCAAGCGAGCTTGGACGGTGGCAGCGAGGTCCTCAGGACGTAGGTGGGTTGCCTTTAAGGGCTAACGAGCCCCACCTGCCCGGGAGTGGCCCTGACCGGGAATCGAACCCGGGTCTCCGCGGTGATAGCGCAGCGCCTTTACCACTAGACCACCAGAGGCTCCCTATATATATACATAAATATATATATACACATAAATATATATATACACACACATATTCTTTAGTAAATAGCTGTTATTTTCTTTTCTGCACCTTTTCTACTGGAGCCTCTTAATTTCAAAGTTGTAATAACTCGGAAGAGCTTGGTTTTTCTCCTATCCTGCCTTCCTTAGCAGACATTTCTGTCTCATTAAACTGAAGTGTGCCAAGAGAGAAAGCTTTTGCTGACCTACCCCTTCTAATTGCAAATTTCTAGGCACTCCTAATTAAGTGACAGTCACTTTCCACTTGCAGCCTTTAAACTGTACACACCCCACGTTGCACTGCACGGGGAAAGAGCAGGCATGGGCTCGACCACTGGACTCCTTAGGGTTAGCATGTGAGACATGTGATAAGTGCAAGAGAAGGTGAGAGTCCATCTGCGTGAAAAGGAAAGAGCAGAGCCCCAGAGTGCAGCGTGTAGTTGAAAGGCTGCAATGAGAAGGGCTAATGCAGTAACTGTTTTTGCCCTGGCCCATTTTACTCTACGGGAGCTGTAGTGGACACTCTGGACTCTGCCAGAATGAAAGTGCTTCCCTTTACCTTCCCTGGGCATCCTCTGATCTGTACCACCAACGCTGGTGTAGGTGCTTCCCTTCATAAGGAAGAGCGCTGTCATCCACTTTCAGGAGGCCAATGTTGAAATTTGAATCTGTGCTCCAAAATTTAATACATCCAGAGATCGCTCTTGTTGGAAATTGTTAATAGTGGTTATTGTATTTTAGTGTTTTAAGTCTTGCTAAATACTCAGCGAAGTCAAGTGGAAATAATCTTAAAAGAAATACTTAAGATCACTTCCAAAGGGGTGAATTGTTGGAAATTATACAACTTTCCCAAAATTTTAATTAATGGTAGCAGGTAGCTAAGTTCTTTTCCTCTTACAGACTCTTGTCGATTTGATCTTTAAATCACCAAAGCTTTCAGTTTTTCTGAGATTGAAGCTATTGAAACTGTAATAAGCTTCAATAAATAAAGCTTGAGGGAGCTGAGGATTTAACACCTGGGATCTTAAATTTATGGTCCTTCAAAGACATGTTGGAGTATCCAGAAGATACAGAGGGCAATAACAAAGACGTAACAGCCTGAAAGTTGGAGACTATCTGTCTAAGGAAAATGATGGGAGGACCAAAGGAGGAGGACCAAAATTAGCCAGTGAAGGATAGAATACTAATTAAATTAAGAGAATCATGTAACTTAGAACCAACGAACATTAATTTATTTGCCAAAATGTATAAATACATGAAAAGTCTTGAAATGGACATAGGTAGCTGGAATGAATAAAGTAAATGCCTGGCTCACCAACACTTAAAAGGTAGTGTTGGAGGGTTTCACTTGTGTTTTCAGTGACAGTGGGATTGCTGGCTGGGGCGTCCTGTACAGGGCCAGCAGCCGGACTTCGACGATCCCAGTGGGTCCCTTCCAGCTCAGGACCGACCCGGAGCACTCGGAGCGCCCGCCCTCACAGCCCTGTGCCCGGCGCCCTTTACACAGCGCCACGTCCCAGCCCACAGGGCCGCCCCCGAGCCCGGCCCTGAGGTTTTGCTCCTTGCCATAATCACTCGGCAGGGCTCGGGGCGAGTCGCATCCATCACCTGGCCGCGCTCCACCGCCCGCCCCTCCGCTCCGTGCCCGCCCCCCGCCTTCCGGGGCGGGCGGCGCAGTGCGGAAGGGACGCGGGGCCGGGAGGAAGCGGCTCCCGCCGGCTCGGCGGCACCGGGCGGGGCGGGCGGGCGGCGGCCGACGGTGAGCGGGGGGCACCTCCGGGGCCGCGGGCTGCGGCCGGCACCGGGGACCGGGGGGCCGAGGGCCGGGGGCTCGGGGCTCGGGCGGGGGCGCCGGGCAAGATGGAGCAGGCGCTGCCCGCGCCGCGCCGGGGATGTGCCCGGGGATGTGGCGGCCCGGCTCGGCCCCACGCTGGTGGCCCCCAGGCTGGTGGCCCCGAGCCGCCAAGTGCGTGCCCACCCTGGAGGTCACGGAGCGGCGGGGACGGGAGGGCGCAAACCCCCGCGTGTGCCGTTCGGGAGCGATCCTCCTTCGCTGCGTGTTTCCTGACCTTCAGCCCTTAGGAATCTCGCTGCTCTGGCGTTTGTTTAGTTTCTTACGGCGTGGGGTGTCTGCTTTTTTAAATCGTTTATTGTTTTTGAGGTCTCACCCCTGCGGCTGACGGGCAGCGTCACTGCTGTGGCACTGCGATGTTTCAGCCACTGCAGGGCAGGGTTTAAATCCGAACCAAACCCTGCTTTCAGTTAAAAGGGGGGGGGGGAAGAAAGAAAGAAAGAAAAAAAACCAACGAAAATAGGTTAATGCTTTTGTAAAATCTTTTAAAATGTCTTGGCGGCTTCAGTGTTTTAAATATATCATCTCTATGTACAAGGTCAGAATTAGTAAAATGGATAGAAAAATTGAGGCCTGCCCAGGCTTCTGCCCCTCTGCTTTAGACATTAGTTTATGATTGATGTACTTGCCAGTCTTCCTTCCATATTGGTGGTGGCTGGAAAAGCTTATTTTTCTTGGTTTTTCCTAAGAAGAAATCCTATTTACTAAGTGTTGTGAAAGAAATTGCTTTATACTCAGAGTGAAAAAAATTTGCTATCAATTGAGCGAGACTAGGTTTAGATTACATATTGGGAAGAGATTCTTCCCTGTGAGGGTGGTGAGGCCCTGGCACAGATTGCCCAGAGAAGCTGTGGCTGCCCCATCCCTGGAAGAGTTTAGAGCCAGATGAACAGGGCTTGGAGCAACCTGGCTTAGTGGAAGGTGTCCCTGCCCATGGCAGAGGGTGGAACTGAATGGGCTTTAACGTCCCTTCCAACCCAAACCAATCTGGGATTCTATGAAATTCTTGTTGTCTCCAAGAAGCTTTTAAAAATTTTTAAGGTGTTTCTCTGAGTAAGTCTGGGTTTGAAACCTTGTTATGTCGTCTCTAGATAATCCTTACGTTTGTTTTGGAACATGAGGTAAAATAAGTCTTGTGAGGTAGAAAGAGGGAGCAGGTCTTGTTGTTGTTGTTGTTGTTGATAAAGACATAAAATCCCCAGGAAGGACACGGGTCAGACCTGCTTTGCAGGAGGTATCTGGAAGCACAGGGAGGTTTCGCTAACAAACATCATCTTGTGTTGGACAGGGCTGCCTGTGATCGGAGCAAAATGGCTTTCAGTAAAGGATACCGTGTCTATCAGAAGCTGGATCCGCTTCCCTTCAGTGTGATCGTGGAAACCAGGAACAGAGAGGAATGTCTCATGTTTGAATCCGGAGCTGTGGCTGTGCTCTGTAAGTCCATCTGTTTTGATAACTACAGTGTAGAAAGGTGGCAGACTTGACATGGTGTAAGCTGTTTATTT